TACAAAGCACAAGTGTAATCAAACAAGCAAAAGGCGCATTCATAAATAGCAAGATAATATTCAATACAGAAGTCCAAGAAGTAAATCAAAAACTGTCGTGGAAATTATGCCTAAAATCATGTCCTAAATCTGAAAATACATCAACTAAACCAAATATTTGATTACAACACTAGGAATTAAAGAAAACTAGTAAATTTCATTATTACATTTAGAAATACTTAAAAAAAAGCATCCAATCTTCAATCGCATGTTGTTTGGTTGATGAATCCTTGCTATCTAAGATGAAAATTTAGCCAAAGATGACTAAAGTTACAACACATTGTTTTATTTATACCATAACAACTTAATAACACTTGATGAAAGTGGGTATATGGTGCCTGCCTTTTGCGTTTGATTTTCACTAATAGCGAAATCTTGTTCAAATTTACATTTTTCTGAATTTTCGATTGAGCATCGCTTTTAGCGATTCAGCTTATGCCAATGGCATTCCAGAACCACTTAGTTTCACCAGTGGTGATTCTGAACTTATGAATTGAAGTTGGCCAAATTTTTGCTGCTCAATGGACCATATCGCTTTTAGTGGTTTAGAATGGTGATTAGATATTTCCTTAGCTTTTAGCACTTCTCTTATTACGTAAAGACCTGCACATTTGTGGCTCTTTTTGATCATTTTCTTCATTATTTCCATCTTCTCAACTCCAAATAAATTGCAACCTGAAATCATGCAACTTATATAAGAAACTAGCCATATTCATTACTTAGATGAAAAAACTCACTTAAAGATGCAAATAAGTTGTTCAATTCCAACTTATTGATTTCTGTCTATTAAGGTTATATGAGGTTGCTGATGTTCTCTCTGCACTTCACCATTAAATGGCTATACTTCTGTTATGGTTCATGACTACTCTTCCCAATTAATTTACGGATGGTTGGTTGGTTGTTGCATCACAAGCATCTTTTGTCAATGACGAGAATGAAATTTTACATTGGGGCATCTTGTGGGTTCGTGAATTATATTTTTCTTATGTCAGGAAGTTCTAGTCCTTTCTCTTTGGTTCTATTCATTAGAATTTTCAACTTAGTCTTGCTTCTTATGTGGGGTCTATCACTGTTGTTACTGGTCTGCTATACAAACTAGATTTTGTTACATCTTGCTGTCTTGAGGAATCTCTTCTTTTTTTTAAAAATAAAAAAAATTGTGCCTGTACATGGTGGATGGGTCTACTTCTTATGTATTCCTTGTTTGGAAGACTGATAAACTCTTTCCTGCTAAAGCTTTTGTGTTGTCATATGATTTTAGTTTGAAGTAATGAAACATTTGATATACTGAACTCCAAAAAGAAAGAATTATATGAAATTTGAAGTGCGACTTAAATTGGCTTTATTTTGCAGCTTTATGTCCATGGCGAAAAATTCAACCAACCAATATTTTTCTGTAATAATATATCCGGACATGTGAATCCAGTAAGTTGAATACATTGATTTGCTTATTCATGTACTATTTGCCTCCTCCGACTGATTCTGCCCTACAATTACAGGTTATACCAGAAAATGAAAACAGGGCCTTGTACTCCACTCACTCATTCAAGATTTTGTTCAAGGAAGGTGGTTGTGGAACTTTTATTCCTCTATTTTTCAATTTAATTGCCTCAGTGAGACGATACCACCAACAGTCCAGGGAAGAAGCTAGAGTAGATCCTCTTCAAGCAGCACAAACTCCTGTGGATGAGATGATGAGACATGCGTATGTCACTTTATTTCCCCCTTTCAACTATCAAGTTTTCTCAATAATCTGCTTAGTTATACATATGTTGTGGTGATCTCTTTGATGATTTTATCAATTTTGCAGTTATGTGGATCCTAATGATCCAACAAGAATTTTCTTGCAGCAGCCTAGTACAGAATCTCAACTCAGGCGTCGAACATACCAGTCAACCAGCTGAAAATCTATCTAGTTTTCTTGTTTCCAGTTGATTGCTATTTTGACATGTGCAGATTCTCGTCTCTCTTTCCAACAAAGTGACAACTATGTGTGTATGATGTCTAGACTTGTATTCCTAGATGTTTGAAGGAATTAAAATCCACTTTACGTGTGTACAAATACCCAGTTTTATTTATTTTGGTCCTGATTGGCTTTATATTTTTCCTTTAAAAAAAATTAGTTCTTCTATCTTTTGTATGACACTAGGTATAATGCTTGAGAAAAGAGAATAGATATTTGTCGTTTAAAATAACTCGTACATATTTATGTGGTCATAAAAATAATTTAGAATAAAAGGCTAAGTAAAGTTAAGTTGTTTGAAAGATCAAAAAGGAAAATATTAGTAAGGGGTAAAATATTGATTATACTTCAATAATTCAAGTTTGATTATTTATACTTCACAGAGTTATTAGTCTTTTGAAATGTGTGGTACGCTTAACGCGAACTGCAATGCATTCATCATATTTTTGACACGAACAAATTTTACAAGTTCAGAAATTGTTATGGTGCAACATAAAAAGAATTGTTATAAAGAAATAAAGTAAAGATAATGAATTATCGAATTTATCACATATTATATAATTATGGTGCAACATTAACATTTTAAAAATATTCTAAGTTGTTAATTATTGTGATTTATAGTACTTTTTACATATATTTTAAATAATATTTATTATTCCCTATGTTACAATTTACGTGGATACAATTCAAGAATCGATCAAATTTTATAGGCAAAAGTACTCATTACCCCCCTGAACTTGAAGCTTTTTATACGGTGTACACCTAAACTAAATTCTGTTTTAATTACCCCCTGAACTTGTTTATTCCTCCGTCGCGTACACCTTTATTGTCTGATCACTCCAATCGTGTCTACACGCGCATGACACCTAGATAAATATTAGCCACCTGAATAAATTTTAGCTACCTAGATAATTAAATGTCAAACTTTGTCACCTAGATTAAAACTTCCGGACTAATCTCTAAACCTCTCACTAAGCTCTAACTTTTGGTAAGAAGTGTAATCGACGGACGAACTTTTGGCTCTCTAAGAAGTGTAATCGACGGAGTAAAGGGTAGATTTCGCGGAACTCTTTCTGGATTTGGGTCAGTTGCAGTTCTTAGATGTGAAGGCTTGCTCGATTTCGTGAAGCGTTTGGCCGATTGATCGATTTTCTTTCGATCTTGTCTGAAATTGTTACCAAGTAAGTGATTATCCACTCTTATGATGTGTTATTGTTTATTTCCTTTACTTTTTCATTTATATTTTACCCTATTTTTCATTTAGGTTTCGCCGTAGTTTGACTAAGGTTTCGCCATAGTTTCCGATTAGGGATTTTATAGTTTTCAACTAGAATTTTTCCTTAATGAATGTATTATTATGAAGTCGTTCAACTTATGCATGCATGAGTGTTAGGGTTTCTGGTAATTAGTTCAAAAAATTAGGGCTTTTTAGTAAAATTAAGATTCTATGATTTTTATTTCAATATTCTATTTTGGTATTGTTAAATAGTGGGGTATTTTGTAATTTCCTTATGTATATTTGTATGATGTTGAGTAATATGGCTACTAAGTACCAATTATGTTTTTGTATTGTTTATTATAATTTCCTTGTATAATTGTATGCTTATGAGTTAAATTTGGTTTTGTTGCTTCTGTTTTGGTGTTGTTGCCTCTGTTTTGGTGTTATTGTATATTTTTGGTGTAGTTGCTTCTGTTTTGGTGTTGTTGCCTCTGTTTTGGTGTTATTGTATATTTTTTGGTGTAGTTGCTTCTGTTTTGGTGTTGTTGCCTCTGTTTTGGTGTTATTGTATGTTTTTGTGTTGTTGCCTCTGTCTTGTTGTTGTTGCCTATATTGATTGTTATTGGTGGTTATAGGTTGACACTATGGCTACTAAGTACCTCAATTTAAGGTTCAAATTTGGGGGGTATCTTGGTGTGTGAGGTAGGTCCAGTATATGTTGGGGGTAGGACTGAATATGTAGAGAATGTGGATGAAGATCATTTGTCAATTCCTGAACTTGCAGATTATGCTAAGTCTTTTGGGATTAGTAAGTTAGGAAAAACTTATGCTAAGTCTCTAAGGGGTGATTTGGTGGAATTAAAAAATGACATGGACATTTGTAACATTGCATTATTTATGCATGATGGGGACACAATAGATATTTATGTGTGTGATGACACTATTCTGGAGGATGTGAGTCCCAGTGAAGGTCAAATTAGTCAATCTTTAAGTCT